AGTAATATTGTCAGAAGATATCACTGACTTGAGGCATTTTAAGATAAAGACTGTAATGTATTTAATGATTGAAGGAAAACTATTCAGACGGTCAATTACTTCTATGTACCTAAGGTGTCTGAAAGAAGATGAAATTCAAGGTGTCCTTTGGGACTTGCGTTTAGGAGAATGTTGAAGCCATTGAGGAGGCAAGACCTTGGTGTACCGAGTTCAAAGGCAATGGTACTTTTGGCCCACGTTCTTGAAAGATTTGGAAGAATTATTAAGGAAATACGAATAATGTCAGAAGTATGCCCTCTACATCATCAATAAGCTCTCAAGCTCCCACCGGTCACCAGTCCCTGACCATTTTCTACTTGGGGATTGGATATTCTTGGACCATTTTTGCCATCAAAAGGCCAACGAAAATTTCTACTAGTTGCAGTTGATTATTTGTTAAAATAGGTTGAAGCGAAGCCACATCTTGCGGAAGCGATCCGAAATTTTATCTGGAGGAACATCATTTGTTGGTACGTTTTACTGCTCTTTATCATTACCGACAAAGTGACATAATTTACTGACCAAGGAGTGAGAGATTTTTGTGCTAATCAAGGGATTGATTTGAAGTTCACCTCAGTTCATCACTCATGGACAAAGCAGCCAATAAAATAATTCTGAACCTGTTGAAGAAAAACAATGAAGGGGCAAAAGGATATAGGGCAGACTTATTGCCGCTCGTCCTTTGGGTCATCCGAACAACACCTTCAACAATGATCAATCAAACTCTTTTTACGTTGACATATCGAATGGAAGTAGTATTACCGGTCGAGTTAGCCAAAGAGTTGTTATTGCTTGTGCGTTCGATGTAGAAAACCTAGCCGAATGGAGAGAAGCCAATGATGGAGTTCTACTTGCCCTCGATATGACAGAGGAAAAACGAGCAGACTCAGCCCTTCGACAAGAGGAAGTCAAAAGATGTACTGCTCGGTATTTTGACAAGCATATTTGGGAAAAAAACTTTTACTCCCTGAGACTTGGTTTTAAAGGAAGTCAATCCAGCTGCTCGTGGACAGGTGGTCGGTAAGTGGATCAGACTTGGTATGGGTCATAAATCACTAGCCAACGTGTTTTTAACGGAGCATATAAATTAAAAACTTACATCGATAAATAATTCCTTAGGATGTGGAGTGGCGACGATTTAAAGAAGTTTTTTCCTTGGGAAAATATTTATCAACATCTTATTGTTCCAAAATATATTGTAGCAAAATATTTGTAAGTTTATGTTTTTTTTAATATAAGGTATTATTTAGAATAATTTTGTATAAATCTTTCTGAAATAGCACTTAGTGGAACTCAAGAAATTTTAACACTTAGGGAACTCAAAATGACTGAAATGTTAAATAAACGATTGAAACATTTCGATTAGGACGAGCGAATGATTGTCCTATGGGACGAGCGGAAGTCTCTCTTTTAAGATGAGCGAAAGGCTGTCATATGGGATGAGCGAAAGGCTCTCCTACTGGACGAGCGAAAATGGGACGAGCGAAAGACTCTCCTCTAAGATGAGCCAAAGGTTGTCTTACAGGACGAGCGAAAGACTCTCCTTGAGGAGGAGCAAAAGTCTTTTCCTACGGGACGAGCAAAAGACTCCCCCACGGGACAGGCCAAAGACTCTCCTACGGGACAGGCGAAAGATTCTTCTATAGGACCGGCGATAGAATCTTCTACAGAGATGAGCAAAATGGCATTCCAAGGGATCAAAAAGAAATTCTTGTAAAAAATAGCAAAAACTACACCATATATATATATATATTTATAAAATGGGCAGCAGGATGCATGCTAATAAACTTTAAAGTGAAGGAGAAACGATCAACAATAAATATTTGATTGGAACTATTACTTTCATTACTTAGACAACGTTTTTTGCAAGTTTCTTTTTACAAAAAGAACTACTAATACAAAACAAAATGTTTACAAATACACAAACGAATATCCATCCAAGTGTTGGAGATCAGGCAGTCTCTTAGCCATCTTCTTCTCATGCCTTCTCTACAAGTGACTCTTTCCTAACGATGTGAGGAACAAGGACCACAAATTCTTTCTGGTTGGCATATTTTGGGTCGACAAGCCCATGTTCGATAAATTTATCGGTTGAAAATGCCATGGTCCTATGAAACTGGCAAGAAATTCTGGGGATGTGCTCTTCTCGAGTTATCGATTTCACCAAAGTTGCCTTTAGTTCCTCGTTCTCTTTTTCCAGAGTGTCTAGTTTTTTCTTAAAATCAGGCCATCATTTTTTTTCCTTCAAGTGAAAGCCTGAGTTGGCCTTCAACAATTCTCCTGCCCTGCTTCTCGTCTTTTGATCAGTTTTATGAAGTTATCACTTTATCCTCAACCTTGGCCAAGAATCGTTCAGATTCACCAAAGTCCAGGGCTTTGTGGTGGGCGGCTTCCATAGCCATTAGCTGATACCGAGCAAAATTCTGCTGAAGCTCTTCACGATCGAGCAACTTCAAAACTTCCTCAAACTTATTTAACCACACCACTTCCATGAGACGAACAGGAACATTGTCGACCTCTGGCTTGTCAAGGACATCGAATTAATCATGAAATACTGGCGGTTGGAACTGATGAAAATCTTTTCGCCCCACTTTGCACGGGAAGCCATACAAAAGGGACACCTTTTCTTGTCAAAGGAGGAGGTGGGGCGTCAACGTCCATGGGAAATTTTCTTTTTACCTTCTTCACTAGAAGGACGCGATTCTTTGTCGACAGGAGGAAAAGGGACCGACTCCGGGCCAGGTTCAGTTCTGTTCTCAGATAAAAACTCAAAAAAGTCGATAGTGGAGTGTTGGCTTGGTTTCAGCCCTTGCAGACATATGAGGCAGGAAGACGACGATTAGTTGGTTGCGATGAGAGTGGATATGTTGGTCAGAGACAGAACGTTTGATTTTCCCTTTTCATTCCCTGAAGCTTCATCTTTAAAGGCACTTCATCTCAGAATAGATGTCATTTGGTTTGCCTCACCTGCATTCGGTCGAAAACTTTTAGGTTTTCGTGCAAAAATAGTGATTTTCTTGGTTGACATATTTTGTATTACGACGGTCATTTCAGATTTAGAGAAAATAAAATCCGCATCTGTAGTAATGCGACAGCGGCGACCACTTTTCCGGGTTCCCCTTGAATTGCCCCATCGTCGAAAGGGCAAATTTACCTCTCGGTTTTCTATTGGAGGCTTTCTCCTCGGCTTCCTTCACACCAGCCGCCACCTAGTGATCGGATCAACCCGACGAGACTCTTCCTCAACGATTGGAACGGGTCTGTGAGAGGATCCGAAAGCCCATGATCTTTCTCCACTCTTACCATTTTCTCTGGCCGATCGACATCATGGTTAGCAGGAGATACAACCTGATCATTTAAATCGATCATATGTTCCTTGCGTTTCTTCTTCACCAACACCATCTTCTTCTTCGTTTTTATTAGGAACAGGGAGAGGCTGAGGGAGTTGAAACTCTTCCAAAGCCATTTGGAGCGCAGCCTCATCAAAACGGTCTGGAGCTCTTGTGTCAAACATTATATCAGAATGAGAAAGGAAACTACTGACCCTATTTATAGAAGTTTTATGGCCACAAAAAACTAGGAAGTAATTGTCACGCTTTTGTGAGATTTAATTTATCATTTTTTTGTCCTGATTGTAGTTAACAAGGAGCAAAAAAATCGATGAGCTAATATGTATACAGGAAAAATGTCAACATGCATCTTAAAGAGATCAAACGGTTCGAAGAGACTCCACGACTATTGGTCGGAAATGCGTGAGGATTATTAAACAAACGACTAACTTAGCACACTTGCCCAGACGACCGGCAATCCCATCGAACCTAAATGACCGATTGAATCAGCCAACCGGTAAAATTGATCTAGAATGAGGCAACCGACACCTAGAAGTAAAAAATTAGTTTTGTCATGTATTATGTTCCATGGTTGCAACCATTCTTGAAAATGATGCCCATTCTGTTATTTGTATTAGAGAGGTGCTTATATTAACTACTCAACGTTAGGAAAAAGGCAAGAAATACTCTCTACAACTGTTGAGATAAGAGGGGATAATAGTGTAATTGTAAACTCGAGCCACCTATTATTTTAATAGGGGCCTTTTTATGAATAATGCTTGACACACTCATTTTCCCTAAAGTCACATTGTCCTGTATCCTCTTTCTAATCACTTCTCTCGTACTCTTAACTCTCGGGGCGTGCCTACGGCGACGATTTAGGATTTAACAAATGTGAACCCTCTTATCCCCAAAAACGTATCTGTTTCTGCATATTATGTGAGGAAATAGATGTTAGCCTGGCCATTCTTGTATTTTTTCGGAGATCACAAACAATACACTGAACTGCTTGCTGCGTTTTAATTATATCCTTGCAATAAACATGTGTTTACGATGCGGCTTTTGAAAAGGGAATGGGTTTACCAAATCCTCATGTAATTGCTCTTTTATTTTGGTTCCTTTTCTTGAAATCTTAAGCTTTTCAATTGATGGCTTTATTCTGCAACTTCCTTGAAAGTGTAGCCTTGAACGTTCTAGCTAAATTGTACAGTCATACGTTAATCTGCTGAATGCCTTACAGCCATCATTTTGGATGAACATTTTATTTTTACTCGCGATCTGTTCTTACCCTCTTTAGTTGGAGTGAAAGAATTTAACTTGATTGGCAAAAAGAATAAAATTTAAACTCGCTGTAGAATCACTGCCTTGGAATTAAGTTAAAATTTCCTTCAAAATAAAAAATCTCTTCCTCGGAATTAAGTTAAAGTTTCCTTCAAAATAAATAAACCCTGTTATGAAAACGGAATAATGATTCATATAATATATTTAGTTAAGCATTTATTTTTTATCAAGATGATCAGTTTTTGAATTTTTTTATGGTGATGATGGATTCATGTTGCATACTTTTCACATTATGAGCATTGTTGATTGAAAGATAAGTTATTTTGATCTTTCTCTTTGTTTTGTTACCAGCCAAAAGCTTCATCTGGATTTGCATGGATAGGTAGCCGTCTTCTACTGTTCTATCTAAAGTTAAGGGCTGCAGATATTCTCAAGAACTGCTATCCAACTGTATGTATACACTATAAGTATTTGGTTTATTTTCCTTAGAATTAGTTGGCTCAGCTTGCTCCAAAGTTTTCTACAAATGAGATTGAAATTTTATATCTGCAGAATCCCGAACGGGTTGATGCTTGGCTCATCAATGAAATACTAAGAGCTGTATCTTCATTCATGTACAAAGTATTTTATTTTCAATTGCACAAATTGTGCTTAACAGATATTTAAGTACAAGGATTTACCATTCGGCTGTCTTCTATTATGGAGCAATACGTTCCAATAGCGGACTATGCCAAATTAATTGATGACTCGAGAAAGTTGGAGCAAAGAACAAAGACTGTTCAAAATACGAGATTGAGTTCGTTAGAATCGTCAAATCTGTTTCTTTGATCAGTTAACATGAAGAGTATAAGATTTATAATTTTCTTTTTATCCTGAGGGAAAACATTAGAAATTACTTATCTTTTGTCGGAGAGGAATATGAGAGAGATGTACAGATCGGGTAGGCTAGAGGAATAGAAAGCAGAAGCGAGGTAGGCAGAGAATGTTTGGCTGTAGGATTAATGTAAGATTAAGGGGTTGTTTTTGGTAAGTAGGATTTAACTTGGAATATTGTAAATTCATAAATTCAGTTTTAATAAAATCTAAGATAATTAATTCTTGAACATTATTTCACATGCAAGATGTTAAATACGATAAAATCTTGTGAAATATTCTTACAACATATACAAGATTTAAGTCTATTAGGTTAAATCTGAAGTAAAAACTCAATATTAATGATGCAATTAATACGATTAATTTAATTTAATTTATTAATTTATTATTTTTAATTACATTTATCATTAATTACCAATGTACTATGTTCAATAGTTGTTAATAAGGATTTTGCTGAACTATTCAACATTAATCAATATTTTCATATTCAATAATAAATCAATAATTATTTGTTTACTAAACTATTAATCATTACCTAGAATTTTATTGAAATAATTAAATATTAATTAATACTTTGATTTTATTAGTTAATCATTAATTAATTATTTATAAACTTATATCAAACATAATTAAATTAATTAAATTAAAATTAGTTTGAGCAATTATTGATTAAAAATCAATTAAATTAAGGTTGCTTTCAATTTAATAATAGACTCATTAATCATTATGTAATAAATTATAAAATTAATTAAAATTAAGATTTTTCAATTAAGAAAATTAAAATAAAAATATTATTAATTTAATAAACAATATATTTTTAAATAAATAATTTTTATTAATAGAAACCTCCTGCTACTTTTTTCTCTTCCCTCTTCTCTACTTTAAACTATTGACAATAAATAAAACCCTATTGCCTACCCTTTCCTCTGCTACTGAGAACCCTCATCGATATTTGTGACGAAAGCTAACTAGGAAGGCAACGAAGGATAGTGGCATTCAAAAAATGAATCTTCTGAAACTCCATTTTTTGTCCCTTTATAAGATGCTATTTAAATCTTAATTAGTAGTCAAATTGAGAACTTGAATTGCTATGAGAATCTTCAATTGAATTTCTCCTTTGTTTTATCCTGACCTTAGAATTAGTAATTTCATATAGGTGGATTTAAATTAAATTTGCAAGTCTCATGTCATGAACTCCTCTCTTCTTTTAAGCATCATAAGTTCCATGAAAACCTTTTCCAAAAAACTCTTGTATGACTTCTTTAGCTCCTTTGCATGCTATTGGCCTCACCAACTACTACTTCAATAAGCTCTCTTAATAGCTTCCTTGCTTCCCCATTGGTAGCTAAACATGTTGATGTCTCCTTTTGTGAGTGCCAACCATGAAACATATGGTTGGTCCATCAATGCATCTCTTAAAGGTATCCTGTATGACTTCCTCACCTTTTTTTTTTTTTTTTTTTTTTTTTTTGAAGGGGGTTATCTGGTTTTTTTATACGAGATTTTTTATGTGGACATGAGGAAGACGTGTGTGGGAGACCAAAAAAAAGGAAGCTTATGGGCTCAGGTGGAATTGAGAACGAGAGAGACAAAGCCAGAGATAGTGCGGACCAAGCGGTGGTGTTGTTGTGAAATAGTTAGGTAATGATAGCACGCTAGGGGATGAGTCGTTTGACAGCTATCATGACTGAAAACAAAGGGGAGAACCATGAAACAACGAGGTACAAATAGTGAGTTGGTTTCAACACATGTTACTAAACAAGTTACAAACACATCACTTGTAAAATGAAGATGATACAATACTCCTTAGGACAGATATTAGAGATTCTAATCTCTAAATTACACAACAAAAATGAAAATTCTTCGAAACAGAAAAAAACACATAAATAGGTTCCTATAGAAAATAATCCTAATTACAAATAAATAAATAGGAAATAAACCAAAAAAGGCAAAAGTTCCTAATGAATTTGAGAACATGATTGAATTGATTTGCTCAACCACCTCTCGCGATTGTGGAAAGTCCCAGTATTTGCTTGGGATTGTTGCGGCATCTCGGATCCCGTAATATTCTAGGATTCTACAAAATCCTAAAGAACCAAACTCCTATGTCATTCTCCCAAATAAGAAGAGACTTCTTTTCTGGAAATACCTGGATCTGATTTTTTGATATAATTTCTCACAAAACACTTTAAAAGATTTGTAAAGTTGTAGTTCAACACTCTTGTCTAGCCATCTGTCTATGTCGAACTAGAACATAGCATTCAACTTCATAGTCTTCTAGAAATAGCTCAGAAATTTCTCATCTCTATTTGAAGTGATTACATGCCAGCCTAACTTAGTTAGGGTAGCATGGGAGACTGTAGGCAAAAAAGTCCTAAAACCACTTAGTGGGGGCTGCCCTGCGTCTAGAATCATATCATTTTAATATCACAAGGTTAGGCTCACTAGCACCTTTCTTAATGCCTCTGGAATGTAGCAAAACACACTAAAATTTTGGTTTGTGCTTGAATGCCCATCACAGTTGAAAAATACGCCTCTCATTAATGATAAATGAATAAATATTTTTATGGCCATCATGAAGTATACCTTATTCATACTACCACAATTGGCCTGATACACATCTATTGGTATGTCGTCACATCAAATCCAATTCTCCAACTTGTCTCCAATTGAAAATTTGATCAAACATTGCTTATCTACGCTAATTCTACTCCGTTTATTCAACCAAGTCAGACATTATAATTGAAAATGCTTCTCTGTAGTGAGGCTTATATTGTCAACCATCTATGTAGATATCTTTCACAACCGCCTCTATTGATAATGAGATTGTACATTTTTTCTTCATGGTGTAGTGGATATAAAAGATGTTCTGGCCAAATCTCTGTTGCTAAGTCTGAATGACATGTTGGATTGCTAGCATCACTCTTTTCAATTAGAATTTGATACTCTTCTTTGCGTCCTCTCATTCTCTTGTGTCTCTTATGTCATTGTTTAGGTTTTCTCTTACCCCCTGCTATTTGGACAATTGGACGCAATGAGCTCGAAATTCTGCCACTTGAAGCACTTTTTGTTTGAGACAAATTTGGAAGTACTATTGGTCTCCACCTTTTCTTTACTTTGGATTGGTTTTTCCTTGGACGAACTTTGCTTGGGTGCTCCACTAGGTCTTTGTACTCTTATTGCCTTATTTTAGGGTTGAACTCTATCTTTATGGTGTTGTGGTCACTTGGTGATGTTGCTTCTTTTCTTCCTTCAATGTTAGGATCTATACATCGAATATGAACTAATGCAGTTGCAACTGCACCACAATATTGATAGATGACTTCGATCCTCAAAGGTACCTTGCCAGTGTGTGCTCATTTGGTTTGACTAACTTATATTTCAACATGACTTTATCAAATTCAGTTATGTATTCCACAGAAGAATTTTTCTAATGTAAATTAAAATTTTATAAATTATAATTTTATAAACATATCCTGTCGGTAATACGAATGAAAATAATGCTACATCTCATTTTTCATCTTAGATCATTTGATGATCTTACTCTTCATATCTCATTGTCGAAGATGCTTGAGGTTCTCCCACCACAGTGGAGTGTTCTTTCTGAGCTCGATGACCGACAATTGAACTTTTTTGTTCTAGAGAACATCTCTGTACTCAAAAAATTGTTCCACTATTTGGACCCATGAAATCATCCAGATTCATGCAATCCTCAAAATCTTGAGATTCACCTTTACTCCAAAAACTTCATTTTTCTCTAATATTCAATACTAAATTACTGGAGTATTGGTTCTTTGTCACTGGAAATTTCATGGTGGAATAGATTCATTTCCTCATTTTGATCTGGTGAATCACTATTGTGGCTATTGTTGACCTCTCCCTGTTCTCTTCTTAAAGGTGATAAGCTTTTGTTGCAGTAGGTGGATTTCTTGTTGCATGTCCTTCTGGTAAGCTCATGAACATCTCGTTGAGCTTCTCTTGATACCGAAGTTAATTCAAATCTTAATTGAAAAAGTAAATATTATTGTTAAAAGCAAATAGATAGTTACAATCAAACACACTCGAAAAGGAAATTACATCAAACACAACACAAACCACACTAGGGCTTGATCAATGAGTGTTGGAGGTCGGCTAGGTGGTCGAGGAGCGGAGGTAGGTGGCTGAAATGAGTTGGGGGTGATTGTATGGGTTGGAATTTTGTTGGTTGCGAAGCAGGGACTGGAACAACGAATACAATAAGTGGGGTGGCAAGTAGAGTGGCGAGGAGTGGTGGGAAAGGCTGGAACAACCAGAAGATAATAGAAAAACAACATGTTTGTTGTTTTTTGGATGGCGACAGTGAAAGGGCAAAGCAGGGGGCTGCAGGACAAGGGCTAGTTGTCTAGGGCAATGGCCGCAAGCAAGTAGGGTTGAACTGGGAAGACTATAGTGAAAAACAACAAATGAGTGTTATCTCTCTACTTTTGAATTTAAGGTCAGCACGTCTTGTCTGTAATGAACTGATAAGTACTACTGCCGCATCTCCCGTTTCATCTGGGACCATGTAGTGATATAATTTTTTTCCTCAAGCTGGCATAGGTGCTTCAAAATTTGCCAACAAAATAATACACTATTCTTTAATTATTTGGTGCTAGTTTTACCATTTCGTCAAACTACTTGCTTTAAGTGCCACCAACCCGGACATATGTCGAAAAATTTCCCCAAATTGCGTCAGAAGGCTCTAGCAG